ATTACCACAGGCATGACAGAAGCGGAAGCTTTATCTGCTGCAACTTTTGCAAGTCTTGAGTACCTTATCCATGCACTTCCTTAAACAACACGGATGAAAAGTGCCTCCAGCAGTGAAGAGAAGAATGTATGAGGTAAGAGAAAAACTCATTAGAATAGCACCTTTCAGATTACTGCTCTAGACAATGAAAACATCTCAAGTATCATCTTTCCTGAAGACAGCTCAAAGGGCTCATGTGTTAAACCCCAGATGTATCTCTAGCATGTTTCATCATTTTAAGCTACAAGCAGTAGGGAAAACTGAAAATGTGGTGCTCTTCTCTAATACCAGGGTATGCTATTGTTTCTTGCATTTGAATGCGTGGATTGGCTGATGGGAGTTTATTATTAGCAGGTTTGGTGCTGGCTCTCCTGACATTACTAGAGGAATAGGAGATCAGACTGCTTTCCTCAGGAACTCCAACTGCCTCTCTACCCCCATTCCCCTGAAGTTTTTTGGGTAGGGCCAGGGGGGGTGAATTAGGGCAAAGACATCAGGAGAGAAGCATAGTCTCTTCCTACACATCAGACTTAGTCCCTGTGGCAGGTCAGCAGAGTGGAAGATCTTACTCTTGCATTGATGCTCCGTGTGACATGGCACAGAGGACCACTGTCTGCATTTACCTGGGAAATGCTGAGGTGATTGCCAGGCCTGAGGTGCTGTGTCATTGCTTGTCAGGAAGGAGAACGAACAGTGGGCACCAGCTCCTTTGCAGCAATGAGAGATCATCACACTTTTCTTCCATGATGGTACACACAGAAAAGGCCTTTTGTCTTGACTGCTCAGGCAGATGGGAATGTGCAAAAAAGCATGAGAAGTACCACCTCTACAGATGCAAAACCTACCTGTTACTCTCTAATGTAACTTCCACCAGGATTTAATTTCAGGATTCAGAAGTTGTTTGCCTGAGGGATAAAGCATCGGTTGTGACAAAAACACAACACTTGAACATGGCTTAAACATAGAAACTCAGTCTTACCTGATTCTACCTACCTCCACATGCAGCCGAATGTGGAGAAATGAGCAGCAGAGAAATGAGTAACACAACCACACTGAGTCTTTACACATGTGGAAAAGGTATGCAAACCTCAGCTTAACTTCTGGACTGAAGCAGACATGGTAACACTCCCTGCATTAATCCCTAGCACACAAATCTACTGCTGTTTGCAGCAAAGATTAGTCCAAATACTTCACCAAATACAAGCTACTTACAGATTTCACTGCCCACAGTCACTGGTTAAGTATATTCCTGTCTTCATTCCTCTTTAGATTTTGGGAACCATGGGGCTTAACCTCAAGTCAGACATTGTTTTTCCCCTTGGCTACATTAATTTACCAGCCTCTCTTTTTGATGGATTCCTACATGGACTCCCTCAGCAGTGGGGTTTTAATGTTTCCTGACAATATCATGCAAAAGAACATCCCATTATATTTTCAGGCATCTTCTACAACCTATTGGGTTTGCACAGGTATTGACATCTTTTCAGGAAGCCAGATGCTTTTGCTGTGTTATTCTGGAGGATCTGTTGCACCCTGGTCGAAGAATGACATTATTTTTTCTTCTATTCATCAACAGCCCCACGTGAGGATGACAGTTATATGACCTCTCTACATGTACAGAATGAAAACAAGGCTCTCCCATCCTACTCCTAATAAGCACAGGCAGGAACATGTTAGGCCTCTGCCCATTAGGAAGACAATGTAGGTTGGTTCTCTGACCACAGAAATGCCACCTAGCCAGGTTTCCTGCTTAGCAGTTGCACAATGGTTTTCAAGCTATGTTGTGTTCATCAGCTGTACAATGGAGAATTCCTGCACTCCCAAACTCTACTTGAAAAATATTGACACATGCACTGACTATAATGTCTGGCAGCCTCTTCTCTTCCTTAACCATCAGTAAGGAGTGATTGGGGTATGTTATCAAGAAGAAACACGTAGACATTCTCTTGAACCTTCCTGGCTATTTCCCTATCCTTTTAGTTAGGATACCAAGTGCCATTCCCTATGGTCTAAAACATTCCCACATGACAACCCTCACACCAGCTGCTCCCAACCATGCTTTTGGTTTCCACTCTCTGTCAGCCTGTGGTGCTGGCTTGTTGTGTGCAGGACAGTCAACAAGAACTGTGCCCAGCTGAGTCCAAATGGCATGTACAGCCCCGACTACATGATTGAGCAAAACCGAAGGATGTTACTCATATATCCAAGTTGAGGAGCTCATCGTTAAAAGGTGGAAGCTCTTATACCCAGCAGCAGGTTTTTGTGCAAATCTCCACTTTGTTAAAAGATGTCAGCTTTGCCAAGTAACAGGGTTCACAGAAAGGGGTAGAAACAGCGCACTCTTGTACACATACATGTGAAAGAACATACCTCTGCTATTTAAAACACCTACAAATGCATTATTTCTCTGTATAGCATTTGGGTAACTTCAGTGTACCTTCAGTGAAGAACAACTGTTTTAGAGAACTCAAGGCTACAAACTCTTCCATGGAGCCTGTTGCCATCTATTTCCCTGTCACAGAAAAAGCTTCCAGTGGTTAATCCTTGCCAGTACATCCATCCTGAATATTCTCTGTCACTCTCAATGTAAAATATCTGAGTTGTCTCAGTAGTAAACAGGGAGGAATAAAGGGACTGTTTCATCACTTGACAGGTAATAAAGGAAAAAAGAATGGAAAAAAAATAATGTGTACAATGCAATTACAATGCATGAACAGTCTGTATTGTTCCCTGACCTTTCACTTCATTTTGAATTGCAAATGTGTTAATGATAGCAGAAAAGGGAGAGAGATAAATGTACAACAAAAAACTTTTCTGTTTCATCCCTAACAGGATACAAACAAGAGTTCAGCTGCAAAACCCAAGTCTTTATGGTTGAAAGTAACTTTTGATCATAATGAATCTGGAATGCCTGAAAGATGTGGGAAATCTGTTCCCCAGTTTAACATTAACCTGAATATGATCTTTTGGTTTTTAACTGGGAACATCTGGTAGAAAAATCTGCTGGTCAATATTTACTAGCTAATAAAGACTATAATGAATTCCATTGTCAAAGAGTTATGCATATTTTGTATAAAAGCAATCATAACACTGCAAAGCACTCAACACTTAGAGCAAAGGCAAGTACTATTTTGCAAGGCATAAAAGAAAGACACATCACTGCAATTTAAAATTCATTTGTAGCAATAACATGCTGGTTTTTTCTAAATACAGAGCCCAATTAAAATATAACCAATCCTAAACTTTCAAACTCCTTAAAGCAAGAGATCAGACAAATATGTCAAATATGTTTAATTTTTTTCAAAATAACTGATGGCAAAATAAAATATTTACATCAAGTCATACTGTGTAAACATGTAAGGTCACTGTACAAAGAAATATACATGCAAAATAAAGCAAAATTTTAACTAAAACAATAAAGCAAAATAATACACAAACATAATGATATGAGGTTGGTACGAATACACATCCAGTTTTGAAGTCAGTTGTTTTCTTTTAAAAAGTTTCTGTACAACTTTACAAAAAAAACCAAAACAAAAAAAAAAACCCAACAAAAAAACCCCCAAAAGCCAAAAAAGGAATAAATAGAATACAGTGGAAGCCGCAAAGCTCAAAACTAACCCAAGCTAGGTTATGGCTTCAGACCCATGTATCTAACTATGGTGGGATGTTGGCTTGTTTCTTTAAACATGGCACTTCACACATAGATGACAACACACCCATATGATCTCAGTGATGTACAGAAAACCATCTCTGTTTTTTTTTTTTAAATAGCTCACGTTAGTATTACTTCAACCTTAAAAACAATGACTAAGACAATTACATTACATGTCAGATTCTCGTCATCTGACCACTACTTGCTGAATGTTTTCTTCACCAAAGAGCACAAAATTCATTTGTTCATTTCACAGAAAGAAGTAAACACAGATTCAAAAATTCTAAAACGTATTAAGTGTTGAGACTTGATTCTGGGAAAGTCAGACTTTGGCATTTTGAATACAATAATACATTTTAAAAGTGTCACCCTACTTAACCAGTTTGAGATATGGGATACCAATACCTCTATCTCTCTCTCTCCAGCTTTTTTTTTTTTTCTGTTTTGTTTTGTTTTTGAACAATCCTTAAAACTGACTAGTTTTGACTAAGTTCTATGCTAGCCCTCATCTTAAACTAATAATGACAGTGTGGTACAACACACCCACCCCTGCCCACCCAGAAACCCCAAACACACAAACAAAACCATAAAGCTCACCGTACTAAGTATGTGCTTTTTCTATATATTTATTACAGTTACAACAGAGGTCCTCATAAATAGTTGCATAAAATGTTAAAGCCACAACATTGCACATGATATGAAAGAAAACAAAATCCCAAATGAGTGCATTTACAGTATTTCATCCTGCTTTATACTGCTCGACAATCAGGTTGGCAAGCTGGGCACCAACCCCAAGTCCTTTTCTATGGGGACAGTGAGTTCTGACCCAAACTGAAGACCCGCACAGTGGTATACCACCATTTAGGAAGGAGGGGAAAAAAAGGATAAGGGGAGGGAGGGAAAAACAAAAAAATTACAGACTGAAGGCAGGTAACAGTCTATGTACAAGTAAGGCCTACATTTTATCAGAGCAAAACAATTCATTCTATTTGTATGCAAAAACTTTGAGGTTGGATGCACTTAAAAGCAGAGTCTGATCTCAGTGCACTGCTACGTGAGATACATACAGGTGAGGCAACTGGAAAGCTCTAGGACCAAGTGAAAACCAGATGTTATAAATGGAGGCCGTATCAATAGGCAGCCATTTTGGTGAGTCTTCTCCAGGCATGATTTAATTTCTGTTTAACACCAGTGCTTTGAACATAGGCATTTCTCCTTGAATAAATCTTGAAAACGGTAGTTAAGTTCACTTGCAAAATTCAACTCTGGTTTATTAAAAAAACTATTTTTTTTATTTTTATTTTTTCAGAAACCTGAATAAAATACTGTTACTGTATCACTCGTGACTGCTTTTTTGCAGAGTACAGTGCTACTGTCCTCCACCCCAGTGAAGTCTGCATTGCCAGCCCCCTGCGCCGCCCCGCGCGGGTCCCCCTGGAATGCGTTTGCACACGAACATTCGCTTGGCAGCTGGTTGGCTCGGGGTTTGCTCTCCCCAAAATTCAAGTCAACAGCTGATTGGCAGGAGGAGTCTTATCTCCAGTCTGATTGATTGATTGATTGGCAGGAGGAGTCCATCTCCAGTCTGATTGATTGGCAGGTGAAAGAGAATGAGAGAGAACTTCAAGCAAGGTCAAACTCTTGGCAAGAGCCTGCTCTGTAGGAAGTTTTTAATGCTACGGATGGGTCGAACATCATTCTGGTGTTTTCGCCGCTCAATGAATGAAGTCAGTCTGGATGTGTCGATGCTGTCAGCACTTTTGCTGTTCCCCAGCTGCAGCCATTGCTCCTGGAGGGCCAGTGCAGCCGAGGGACGCTTAGCTGGGTCATCCTGAAGTAGGAAGCATACAAAATCTTTGGCCTTCTGGCTAACTCCTTTGAAGTAGTCATCTGGGAAACTAAAGTCTAAGCGGCAAATATTCAGGCAAGTTTCCTCTACACTTTCATCCAGGAAAGGAGAGACGCCACTAAGAAGGACATATGTGAGCACTCCAATGCTCCAAACATCTGAAGTGAGGGAAACAGGATTTCCAAGAATAATTTCAGGAGCTGCAAACTCTGGGTTTCCAAGTAACTGGTGGATATAATACGTGGTATTGAGCTGGACTGCATCTCCAAAGTCAGCCAGTTTTATAGTTGGCTTCGTGGAACTCTGGTCCACCAAAATATTTTCAGGCTAGAAAACATAAAAGCAAAATTTAAGATGTCTATTTTCAAGTCAGTTTAACACACATTTAATGCTCCAGCATTATGCCTTCCCAGCTGGTGCTGTCAGATCAAGAGCACAATAGCTACAAGCTATAAGGATTATTGCTGAAGGCCAACACTGCAAAGCTCATAGGCAGTCCTACCAAAGGTTCCCCCAGACCATCCAGGAGGCAGTTTCTCACCAACTACAGTATGAAAATAGCATGTTTTAGCTGCTGAACTACAACTTTTGCAGGAAAATATAGTTCTGCCAGATAATAGGGCAGATGTTCACAAGAGCAGCTCTGCAAAGTTTCACAGGCACCTGTATTCGAGAACTTAAGCTTAAAGAACAGCAATTACAAATAGAAGGTGAATAAAGCAACTGCTCTATTTGGTTTATGACAGAGAGACAACAAACCCCTTGCATTTAAATACTGGAAGACTTTGGCAGACTTTTCAAGATGTTTTCAACAAAATTCAGCTTCACTTGGTGATTCCTCAACATAACACAGCTGTATAAATTTAAGTCAATCACTGTTACGAGACTACTACAGCAGCAGATGCTGCTGGATGCATATGGCTTCAAAAGAACTGTCCCACGATAGGTGAGCTGGAAGTAGAAATATTTTTATGGTTTTACTTCTGAAGCTACTGCTGCTGTAGCTGTGATTTTGGCAAAATAGTGCCTTACCTGCAAGTTAGTCAATTTTTTTGTTTGTATGTACCCTGAGACTGGAAAAGGTATGGGTGAACTCCACATAGCATTAGAAAAAAATTACAATTTGGGTCTACATGATAAGCAGACCAGACTCATTCTGCCTGGAAGACAGAAGTATATGGAGGGAAGATGAAAGTTCTTTATTCTTTTTTTTCACCGTGACCCTCTTTTGGCTAAAGAAACCCTGCCTAAGAAGATGACTTGTCAATACCAAAACTCCTTATTATTCAAATACAGATAGGGGAAAAAAAAAGTTTTTAATTAATATTCTTATTAAGACCTTCTTATAGTTTTTTTCTAATAGAATGCATAAAATCCTTTCGATTTCATTAGAATTCAAAGGGAAGAACAGAGACATAAAGAGGAACCATTCACACAGATATCAGAGTCCTCAAAGTGTGAAGATGAGAAACACATTTGCAGTAAGAAAGCAAAAGCAGTCTCTCTCACAACAAACTACACTTCTTGAGAAATAAATGCATTTCTGCTGCAAGTTTATCAGAATGTACATAAATAGAATAAAACCCCAAACCTGCTCCTGTCAGTAAGTATTTCCAGCACAAAGGACCACATAGGACCAGCAAGCTTCAGGAAGAAAGCACTGGGAATTCAAAGTTTTGGCTTTGCTGGCTGTGAGAGATCTAAAGCATTTGGGAATGGAGTCTTCACATACCATTCACAGAGTCTCAGAGCAATTCACAGTTCTATGTTCCCAGCTGTCAGTTTCCTAGAAGAGGAAGGTTTTTATGCCTGGAATGGCAAACACTGCTAGGAAACTCATTCACTCCTAACCTTTAGGTCCAAATGTGCTATTCTGCAGTTGTGAAGATACTGTACAGCTTCCAGAATCTCTCCCAGGTAGAGTCTGATCTTCCCTTCTGTGAGGTTTCCCCATCGCACAACATAGTCTAGAAGGCGACCCTGGTCAGCCCTATTGGAATGACAAAATAGAATTACATTTTGGATTAATACAAAGATAAGAACTGAAAGAAAAACCTAACCATTTTGAAAATTATACAGAAAAATGTTCAAGAAAAGTGTCCCTTAAAAACCACAACTGCATCAAGCAATCAACACTGTTTCTGATGTTTGGCTATTGTTCCTTGACATTGTTTTTCCTGCCTGCTACTGAAAATGTCACTTGCAGCTGATCAGCACCTACCATATGGGCAACTAATTCTGAAGTGGGAGCAGAGAATGAAGGCAGAGAAGGAAAGGAATACGCACTGTTTTTCATCCAGGCTGAAAGACCAGGCACATCCTGCCAGACTACAGGAATAACCATAGCCTACAGCATCTGGAAGACAGAGGACTAGGCAATGAAGAAGACTGATATCAAGCTACCAGATGACAACATTCCTAATTCACGTGTTGCAGTCCCTTGATATAAAATAATTTCTGGACCTTCAGGCTAATATAATCATGTATCAGTTTAATACATCAACTTGCTTCCTTCTGAGTATATTATTAAACTCAACATTTTAATAACAGCATTAGGCAACCACATTTTTTCATCTAGATGTCTTCAAACCTTCAAGTTCACTTTAAAGTGAAACCTTAAAGTTCCCTATTCATAAACCACTCTAAAAGCCCGAGAAAGTCAGCTGTGTAGGTTGTATTTTACACATAACATTGTGGTTCACACACATTTCTAACACTAGTATGTAGTTGGTGGAGGTCTCAAAGGTATCGAGAAGGCCAATGAGCTGGGGATGCTGGAGATTCTGCATGACTCCAAGTTCATGGGTAACCTGGTCTCGCTTCATCAACTTCTTATTCACAAACTTAGTGGCTACTGCTCGCTTGGTTCCCTTCTGGTCACACTTCTTTACGACAGAAAATCTGCCCCTGGAATACAATATTGAAAGGAAAGAATTAACTTATCAAAGCAATAAGGACATACTTTAACCTTGAAAGAGATTTCAAGCTACCCTTATAAAGCAGTTTCAGGACATAAGAGTTTTAAAAGTGCATGCATCTTCTACAAAATGTGTCTGTATAAAAAATTAACTTTTGAGACAGACAGACATTTGCAGAGAACTCTTGGGGATACGGTTTAAGAGTGAACAGAATAGAGTAGGATTAAGGTTGATGATCTTAAAGGTCTTTTCCAACCTAAATGATTCCATGAACTCAAGCTGATGTGGTATTCAGTTCTCAAAGGTCATCATTAATTTGGACAAATGTAAATTATATGTAAATAATTTTGATTTTTGCTCATTTTCAGACTTATTATATCTGTACTTTTCACATTCTAAAGGCTCAGGCAGCATCAGTCACTGTAAGGCATGCTTAAAAGAACAAAAAATTATGTAGCTTTCCTAAGTATCTAAAAAACACATCCCTGTGATACTACTTCAGCCTAAATATATTGTTTCTGCAGTGCCATCTAGTGCTGGTAAGATTTTTTCACTTCCTCATTTCTATTTCATCCAATGTAATTCTGGCTTTTCAAAGATAATTTAATTTTTTGAGTAAGAAGTTCATATTTTAACCTACACAACTTTGGAGATCAACATACAGAACACACCTGCCAAGCTCAGCCACTTCAGTGTAGAGGGAATCAAAGTTGTCTTTCCAGATTACCATGATTCCATCATTTCCAGGACCTACAAAAAAAGGAAGAAAAAAAAAAGAGAAGGATGGTATGGCCTTATCAGAACTAAACTGTCTTTATAACCAATATATTGCTTCAGATATTTTCAAAAGAAGATATATTTGTATTTGAACTTCACATTCAATGGAATAGATTTCAGGAAGAATTTACCTCAGTCATACTGGCCCCTATCGCACTGTTTGAATACAAGTATGCATATTGAAAAACAACTCATCGCCTCATATTGTCCATCCTCTTGCAGCTTGGAAATTAAATTATTTACTGAAATCAACTATTTTGTTGATGATTTATAAAAACTACTACAGCAAGTGAAGGCAAAGAGTATTCTTTAATCTTTGCAGAAGATAATGCACAAGAATTTACTACAATCAAATAGTAACATCAAATGATAAGTCCTTTAAATCCAAAGGACTGAAAAAGACTTCAGAGGTTGATGTTGAAACCTTACTTTCTACTACAGCCTCAGAGTTTTCATTTTGCTCTTATGGACTGGGGAAAAGTCCATACTACGAAATACTTTGTAAAAGTATTAGCAGAAGGGCAAGAGATATACAGCTGCTCATCTTTTGGGGTCTAGCTGCAGAGGAGCCAAGACATACCAAATTCTGATTTAGTTTTGATTAAAAAATGAACACTTCCTTTTAGACAAGGTCAGTAAGACCAAGGACTGTGGCTGAAAGATGGCAGTTTAGCCTACAAGACTTATGTAACTCTTTCTGGACAAATCACCGTTTGGGGCTTTTGTACTGGTGTAGGAAGGACACTCAATACCCTAGTTCCTTGAAGCACACAGTTTCACAGTGATTCTTTCATATGCATCAACAGCTTTTTACTCTCTTAACTAGAAAGTTTTGTTTGCTGGTGCACTATTGGTGCAATCACTCAGTGTTGTTAATCCCTGTGTGACACAGGGTGGCAGCAAGACAAACTGGATTACACACCAAAGCAGCCCAGCCAATGCAGCAGAACAAACTCCATAGTGGAATGAATTCATATGCAGTATGAACTGTCTGTACAGGAATGAGTAACCTTAGCAAGATGAAGGAACCAGCAAAAACAATAGTTATCTTACATTATGTCTCATTGACAACAATGTATCTGTCACTGGGGAAAAAAAAGTGTAATAACTACATGAAAAAAAAGAAAATAAGTTCTGTTTTTCAGGAAACATTAGTGTAAAGACAAAAATTTCATTTTTTTTCCTTTTTAAAATATTGCAATACATCCATTCTAGGGCTTATCTACTGGCTGTCTTGGGCAGGTTAAGGCACCTATTGTGGTGGCCATCAGTCAGGGCTCAAAATGGCAGCACTGATTATAAACCTCCCAAAATTTCAGATGAGGTTTTGGAGGGGACACATCTTTCACAGTCTGGTTTAAACATTCCAGGAAATTGGAAAAATTTTTGAAAAAGAGGGAAGAAAGAACATACTTTGGAGGGGTTTAGAACAAGACTGTAAGCCTTCACAGCAGCTGGACAGACATACAATGACAGAATGCAGCACTTCATGCCTTATTTTCTCGTATATAAGTCAATTTGACACTAAGCCATTCCATCTAAAATCTATTAATTAATTCTCACCAATGGATAAATGCATGGGTCTCTCAACAGACTGAAAGTTCTAGACAGCATAATCAATCGTTATGAACTACATGTAGGAAATCCTACTATCCAGCTGTCTCACTGTTTTTTCCCTATTTCCAAAAACAGAGGATCCTGAATGCTTAAGAATAAGTGAATGCACAAACACACACAGAAACTTACCACAATGCCATCAAACGCATCAACTAAAACCCATACTTTTTCCTTTGCTGTCTGCCTCCAAAACACACGTTTTTTATCTTTGCAAGTTTCCTTTTCATTCTCACACAAACATTCAGGTTGCCTCACTTTAGGCACTGAAATAATATAATTTAAGTATAGATCCATTATGCAAAAACAATAGTTACATGTTCTTTGAACACTGTGGCTTGACAATTCAAGCAAAGGGCCATATTAATATAAGAGCAATACTACTCTTATCTGTACATTTTAGAAATTATACATTAGCACAGTAAATTTAATTGAGACTAAACTAAGAATGCAGATAATGAAATGTGATTTTATCATCGTGTGTTTGAACAGGTAATTACAGATGAGGTAAATGCATGTTGACAGTACAGTGCAGGCATCTTGTCAGTATGAATCTCCAGTCATTTACATCCTAGAAGTACGTCTGTTCTTGCTGAAACAAGTGTTATGTCAGAGGTGAAAAGGTTGTAATACTCCTTTAACAAAGGGATACCCAATAGCTGGGGTCTTATTTTTCTTGTGTGATGGGTATCAAACACTTTTAATATAATTAGATAAAACAGCAGAAGAGACAGGCCTACCTAAAACTCGTAGACTGGCAGAAGATGAAACTGAACCCATATCGTTTGCAGCTATACATGTATAGATACCATCGTCTTCTGCAGTGACGCCAATGATTTTCAGTGAGGCCTCTCCTAAGTCACTGGGAAACACAATGGCAACCATTAACTTTATATTCATTTTACAGACTTTAAACTATGGAAATCAAACAAAGCTAGATTGATACTGTTAGTATTTCTTCTTCTCTAGCCCCTATCTCTTTCTGGACAAGCATAACTAACCTGGTCACTGCCATTTCAGAAGCGTCTATCAGAATATGAGTACCTTGGAATGTCTTACTGACTATTAGAAATGCATCCTCACTGACACTCTGTGTCAGCATGTCCCAGACTTCACTGTGTTTGAGAAATCAAATGCTTCCTCTGTTTCTTCCTGCTTCCTCTACTTTCTTCAAATTAGGAGAAGACGTATTCAGTCAACCACCCATTGCTGTTCTTTCTGAAAGGCTAGTTTCCACCCCTGACTTCCAGCCTATAGAAACTGATCTAACATTTTTACTCCCAGAGCATTCATCCCGTTTAAGAGCAGCCTCCACATTCAATACAAAAGGTGCACCTCACCACAACTTTGGAGGTCTCAGAATCTGAGAGAATGAGGATGGGAAGAAACTAAAGAAGACTTTAAGTTTCCCTCTGCTTCAGGGCAGACACAGCTATAAACTATGTGAGACCTCAGGAGAAAGATACTGCAGATTCTTTCTCACTCTTTCTCACTGCTCAACCACTCTTTTTGCTTGATGGTTTGTCTTTAAATGTTTACTTAACTCTTCCCCAGTGCAATTCAGGCCTAGTACTTTTTTGACCATCTGCCATGGACATGAAGAAGAGATAATGCTGTTTGCAAAAGTCTCTTACAAATGTGAATACTTGGCAAGTCCTCCCTACACTTTTCACTTCTAGGCTCAAAACAACTCTAACATTGTGTTATTCTTTCACAACATGGCATATTTTCAAGATTTTCTGCCATTCTTATTGATTTCCTTTGGATTCATCCCATTTACTGCAAGTCATTTGACTAACTGAACCAAAAAATATTTGTCACAGTCTTCATCACATGACTTAACTTCAGGGAAAAAAATAATGTAAATTTTAGGAACATAGGAGCATGACCTCCCCTCCTCCAGCTTAAAGAAGATTTCATTATTATTATTATTATTCCTAGAAATCTGTCAGGCACAACCAATGTGATTTACTGAATATAATTATGTAACAGTAACAGATCATAGTTAATTAAACCTAGTGAATCTACCTGTTACTCTCGCAATGGTCCTGCATTC